ATGAGCTCCTGCACCTCTTTTTCTATGAAATGACCCCTGCTCCTATTCAAGTGCTAACCAGGGCCGACCCTGTTTAGCTTCTGACATCTGATGAGATCAGGCTAGCCCAGGCCATCCAGGATAGGGCAAGAGACAAACATAGGCGGTTTGCCCTTGCCTGCCTCTGCGTAGCAACCCTGGTCTTCCTTGGCAGTCTCCCATCCAAATACTAACCAGGGCCGACCCTGCGAGCTTGGGCTAGTCTGGGCTATTGAGGGCGCTACTTATAAATAAAATTCTGTGGGTTTTTTTTAATTACTTTTGGTCTTTGCACTGGTCCCCAAAGTGGGCAGTACCGCCCCCTAAGGGGCGCTGGAACGATCCAGGTGGGCGGTAGGAGCCTTGGGTGCAAATTTGTCACTTCATCTTTTTGTCCACTTTTTGAAGGTAGATTTTCAAGGGGGCACTGAGTAATTTTTTTTTTCTCCTGAAAAGGAGGTGGTAGGCCAGATAAGTTTTGAGAACCTCTGGTTCTTTGCTTGAGTCCATATTACTATTATTCTGTGCGTGCTCACTTTTGCAATGCCTCGTGGGGAGCATCGTTCTCTCCCCACCTTACTTTAATTAGCTGACCTGTCCATCTGTGAACCCGGAGGAGAATCGATTTTGCCTACAGCGCAGATGCAAGGCAAGGGAACGACGCCCCACTGCCGCGGCTGCTAGGCTGTTGCAACTCACAGAGCGGCGGGGCAAAGAGATCCGAGGCTCGGCTGACGAGTGACGGCAGCCGTGGGACGTGATACAACATGATTGTTGCAAAGCTTGCCACGTCCCTGGTTTAGAGTTCTTTCTATGATAACGGAGGAGGGGTGGAGGTTTTGGATGGCAGGGCTCACGGCTGGCTCCGCGGGGAAAAGGAAGAATGGTGGAAGCCGCACACCATCTTGCTTTGCTTCCTTCTTTGCCTGCTGGAGCTGTCACATGAAGCTGCTTTGGGCTGAATCAGACCACTGGACTCCATCGAAGTCAGTATCGTCAACTTAGACTGGCAGTGGCTCTTCGGGGTCTCAGGTGGAGGTCTTTCACATCATCTACCACCTGTTCCTTTTAACTGGAGGTGTGGGGCACTGAACCTGAGACCTTCTCTACGACAACCAGATGCTCTACCGCTTGGATTGCCAGTCTCCAGGTGGCACCTGGAGATCTCCTGTTATTACAGTTGATCTCCAGATGACAGAGATCAGTTCCTCTGGAGAAAAACGGCTGCTTCGGAGGGTGGACTCCAGTGTTCCCTCTGAGCTGAGTTAGTCTGAGCTAGCTCAGAGGTTTTTTTAGACTCTGGCTCACACGTTTTTGTCTTGGCTCAGGAAGGATGGCTCCAGAGCAAAGTAATTTATGCAGGAACCAAACTGCTCGTTCACAATTTTAATGCCAGTAACTCACAAAGTAGAATTTTTGCTTACAAAACTCCAAAGTTTAGGGGGAGTACTGGTGGACCTCCATGGCATTGTACCCGGCTGAGGTCCCTCCCTTCCCCAAACCCCACCCTCTCCAGGCTCCACCCCCAAAATCCCCAAAAACCCAACCCAGAGCTGGTAACCCTATCTATCACTGAGCTATTCCTCCGTCTCTCCTTCAGGGCCAACTCGCTGGTAAAGGAGTTTTACTGATGACCTCGTGGCCAGCCCTGCCAAAATCCTATTCCTGGCCAGCTGTAACCCCCCCTAGTCTTGTGCCATTGGACTTTCAAGCCTGCTGGTTTGCAAAGTGTTAGCTGGCTCATCCCCAGCCATACAGGCAGCAGGCCCCCATTACTGCATCCTGTGTGCAGAGCGATCCTAACGTTTGCTGCATTCAGCACAGTGCAGCGAGGATTATGGGGCGTGTTTCGTCTGCCCCCACAGGTGCTCCTTTACCCTGTTGTACTGGAGGCCCTGCAACCAAAGTGTCCCACAGGGAACCTGGTGCTGGCAGAGCTCCATGTGGCTCCAGTTTGGTGCAGTGGTTAAGTGCGCGGACTCTAATCTGGGAGAACTGGGTTTGATTCCCCACTCCTCCACTTGCACCTGCTGATGTGACCTTGGGTCAGTCACAAGCTCTGGCACAGCTGTCCTTGAAAAAGAGCAGTTTGTGTCAGAGTTCTCTCAGCACCGCCCACCTCACAGGGTGTCTGTTGTGGGGAGGGGAAGGGAAAGGAGTTTGTAAGCCGCTCTGAGACTCCAAGTGAAGGGCGGGGTATAAATCCAATCTCTTCTCTCCTCTCTTCTAAGGGTCTTGGGGATGTTTAGTTTGGAGAAGAGGAGATTGAGGGGGGACATGATTGCTGAAAGGCTGTCATTGGGAGGAGGGCAAGGAGCCGTTCCAGTTGGCCGCGGAGGACAGGACCCGAAGCAACGGGTTTAAATTACACGCAGAAAGGTATCGGCTGGATATTAGGAAACACTTTTTCATGGTCAGAGTGGTTCAAAGGTGGAATCAGCTGCCTAGGGAGGTGGTTCGCTCCCCTTCACTGGCAGCTTTCGAGAAGAGGCTGGACGAATATTTATCAGAGATGCTTTAGGCTGGTCCCGCACTGGGCAGAGGGTTGGACTAGATGGTCTTTATGGCCCCTTCCAGCTCTATGATTCTATAACAGAATGGCTGAATCACTGTAACTGAGGTTACTTTATTGTAACTGTGCACTTTATTGTTACTTGCCCAAATACCTTCGCATGGGATGGGCGCTATTATCAAGAGAGGGGCCATGGCTCAAAGGCAGAGAATCTGCTTTGCTTACAGAAGGTCCCGGATTCAATCCCTGACATGATAGAGGTTTCTAAAATTATGCATGGGGTGTGGAGAGAGTTGACAAAGGCCCCGGTCACACGGGCCGGATATCGCGGGGGGGAGGCGTGGCTAATTGCCCCGGCGCAGTTTGATCTGCGATAACGCGAGCAGACGCACCGGTGGCACACCACGGGTCCGTCCCTCCGGGCCAGCTAGTAAACGAGGTTGGCGATCACACGACGAACAGCAATGGCTAGGCGCCGCTGCCGTGACAAACGGGGTCATTTTTTTAAAAGCCAAAACGGCACTTTCGCTTTCCTCTTTGTGCGCATGCGCCGTTGGGTGCTTGTGCGCATCTTGTGGAGACTTGGAGGGGGGGGAAACCTGTTTGCAAAGGGACATGGGCGGGCGCCGGATGCCACCACCGGAAACGCGATCAGACGGCAGCCCTTTCTGGAAACTAGTACCTCGGAGGTACTAGTTCTGAACTCCACATCTTCGGCAGGAAGCCTCGGGTTCACCTCGGGAGCTCTACGCTTCCCAGATGTTGCGGTGTGATCGCGCCCGGAAAATCCGCCTATCTTCCGTCTCTGTAGCGTGGCTAATGCTCCGTGTGACCGCAGCCAAAGAGAACTTTTCCCCCTCTCCCAAAATTCCAGAACTTAAGGGAATCCAATGATGCTGATGGACAGAAAGTTCAGAACAGGTGAAGGGAAACACTACTTCACCCAGAGTGTGATTAAAATGAGGAATTCGCTGCCAGAAGATGTAGTGATGGCCACAGGAATAAACAGCTTTAAAGGGCGATTAGATAGAATCATGGAGGATAAGTCTATCAGTGTCTACGGTACTAGCCTGGGTGTCTGAGGGGAACCTCCACCTTCAGAGGCACTAATCCTCTGAATCTCAGAGCCAGGAAGCAACATCAGGGGAAGGCCTCGGCCTCTGTGCCCTGTGGTTGGCCACTCTGTGAGGCAGGACGCTGGACTAGTTGGACTACTGGTCTGGTGATCTTACGTTCTTATCTCCAGTCAAAAGGATCAAGCCGTATGTGATGTGAAAGGCTGTGGCTGTGATGTGGAAGATCGGGGAGGGGGCTGTGGCTCAGTGGTCGACAGGGTTGCCAATCTTCAGATCGTGCCTGGAGGTCTCCTGGAATGACAACTGATCCCCAGACTTCAGAGATCAATCCCCCTGGAGAAAACCGCTGCTTTGGAGGCTGAACTCCATAACCCACTGAGGGCCCTCCCTCAAACCCCACCCTCTCCAGGCTCTACCTCCAAATCTCCAGGAATTTCCCAACCTGAAATTGGCAACCCTAGGGGCAGAGCATCTCCTTGGCCTGTAGAAGGTCCCAGGTTCGATCTTTGACATCTCCGGTTAAAAAGGACCAGGTAGTAGTGGATGGGAAAGACCTCTGCCCGAGACCCTGAAGAAACACTGCCAGTCTGAGTAGGCAGAACTGACCTTGGTGGACCAAGGGTCTGATTCAGTAGAAGGCAGCCTTGTGTGTGTATCTCGACCTAAGATCCTGGACAGCTGCTGCCAGGAAGAGTGAACAATACTGATCTCAATGGCCCAATGGTCAGATTCAGTATACAGCACAGTGGCATGTGTTTCATCAGATCAAACCAATAAATCATTTTGGGGTTTCTGAAGTCAGGATTTTGCAAGACTGAGGACTGTGATCATCTGAAGGCGTCCTTAACCAGCAAAGGGTAATTTTTTAAAAAAAAGCTTATTCAGGCAAAGAGGGAAGCGAAGCAACACGATCGATGCCTTTTGTTTGAGAGGTTCACCCGCTTTCCTCCGTCTTCTTTGGCCTCAGAGCTTCTTTGCTGCCATTTGGAGCCAAGTCGAGAAGCCCGGAGTCCCAATTCTGCCTTTCGCCAGCCTCTAGATCACAGATCAAATATTTAGCTTCTCTGATTCTCCCTCCCGTATTCTAAACCCACCTCAAAAGAAGAAGAGCAATTGAGAAAACTGCCAAAGAATAAATTGTGAGGAAATAACTTGCTATTTAAAGAGCGTCCCGATTTCAGGAAATTAAAGTAATTTAGAACAAACTCAACCGACTGTTACAAATGTATATGCAGAATCTAATTAAAGAGGTTTAAGGAATTAATAACCTTTTATGAAACTCTTAACACCTGAGAGCATTCAGTCCAGTGCCTTGAAATGAAACTTTTTTTTTTAACATCTGATATTTCTAGACCGATATTGGCTCAGTGGGTAGAAAAGTTAAAATTACTCACGACAGAATCGCGAACGTGACCAGTGTGATAGTCAAACAGAAGATGGACAGAGAGCAGCCGATGTAACTGATGGATGACAGCGCCATCTGGTGCCCGATTGGTACCTGCGCAATTGAAGAAAATAAAAGTCTAAGTTTAATTGCTATTATTATTACCAGAAGGAAGGTTTTCTGTGCAGGAAATGAGCTCAAAGGAGTTTACAGGGAGGAAAAAATAATGTTACCATTAAAACACTGTGTAAAGTTACATAACATTGCACGTATCCCAACAAGAGATTAAGGACAACATAGCTTTCAAAAGCAGGACTTCCAGCCGGCGGCTCAGAACTCAACAGAAGTCTCACTTCAATAGAAGCACCCTGCACGGCCCACAAAAGAACCAACTGTATCAGACCAGTATTGCAGCAGACAGCTTTTGGCAACCAAAACAAACAAAACAAAAAGTTATCAGCACCAGCACATCAACTGAGCACACTGTCAGGTAATGAACATTCTACATTGACAGCTCTGCATTGACACAGACAGGTTTTATTATGCATCCATACAAAAGGAAACCCTGCCTTTATTTATCTATTCATTTACTCACTTTATTTATACCCGGCCTGTCTCCTCAGTGGGGAGGACCCATCGGCTTACAACATTTCCCGCACAAAGTAGCTTACAAAATTTCCCTCTTCTCCATTTTAACAACAACAAAGCACAACCTTTATTGGCGTATAAAATCAATGAGATAAAACTTTGTCAAGGTAAAATTACATCTGTAAGTCTTAAAACACCAATATTAGGAATAGTTCCCTGCTACCAAAATCTTGGACAAAAAATCAGCAGTCTCTATAGTAACTTCTGGTGGTGACTCTCCATTTTATCTTCAGAACACCCCTGTGGGAAGAGCAAGAGTCCAGTAGCACCTTAAAAATTTGTGACAGGGGATGAGCTTTCGTGAGTCGCCCCTCGTTTGTGAGCAGTGGCTCACGAGGGCTCATCCCCTGCCAGACATGTTGTTAATCTTTAAGATGCTACTGAACCCTTGCTCTTTTCTACTGCTACAGACGGACTAACATGGCTGACCATCTTGATCCAACATCCCCGTGAGGTAGGTTAGGCTGAGTGTGTCAAACATCGCTCTCCTCAGTTTGCCATGAATGCTGGGAGCAGGAAGGGTGGGAGCGAAACATCTGTGGATGGTGCAGTGGCAGGCTGAGCCAAAACAGCCATGCGTTTCATTATGACTTAATGAGCTTTTACTGTCCCCCCAAAAAAAATATTTCGCCCAGTTTTCTTCTTTTCTCCCTCTCCATCTGGGAAGTGAAAACCACACCCCTGCCTGTGGCGAGATGTCCCAGAGTCCGTTTCCCACAGGTCCTTTTCTGCTCTCAGCTAAGCTCTGGAAGCGGACTTCAATTTGGCGGGAAGACCAGCACTTGGAGAGGGGAGGGGAAGGCTGTGGGAAGGTAAGCAGCATGGATGGGGGGTGTGGGTTTAACACAGCAGAGGTGAAGGCAGAGTGATTTCAACAAGCAGCAGTTTATTGCATCTCAATAGGAATGCTTTACGTGGGGCAACTGCCCTAACTGTATACACCTAAGCCACGCCCAGCCCCCATGCGATTGGTGAGTTCAAATGGCCTCCAGGCTCCAGATTGGCTGGCTGCCCTCAGGGGCCAATCCGCAGGCAGGTTCCAGGATCCTGCCTGCCTTTGTTCTGGGGCTTCAAGCTCCAGCTAGGTGGCCTGCCCAGACAAGCCCAGACATGCCTCCCCACTCTCCATCTAGGTGGCCTGCCAGACAAGTCCTAGCACCAGCAGCAGTTAAGCCTGAAGGGAAGACTGCACATGTCCAGACATAACAGGGGGGGTTCAGTTTACCCAGGCATCCATTTTGTTTCCAGAATCACACTCCTTTCTCAAGATATGACTGGGGTTTAAACAGACAGGTCTATTTCATTTAGTTTGCTTCATTTCTACCCCACATTTCTCCCTAATGGGGACACAACGCAGCATTTTTTCCTAACAACAACCCTGTGAAGTAGATTAAGCTGAGAGAGACTGGCTCAAGGTCACCTGGCGAGCTTCCATGGCAGAGCGGGCATTCAAACCTGGGTCTCTCAGATCCAGGGGTCATTTCGTAGAGAAAGAGGTGCAGGAGCTCATTAGCATAATTTATTTGCATATGCCACGCCCCCTGACATCACCGGAAGTGTGTCAGAAGGCAACACCCACTGCTCAGACTCCACTGGACTGTTTTGGATTGCTAGCTATAGGGGGGGGACGTGCAGATCTGTCCTTGCAGAGGAGGGAGAGCTTGTACCTGAATAAACCTTGGTCTTAAAGGTGCCACTGGACTGTTTTGGACCGGAGGGATGGGGGGGGGGGGCTCTGCAACTTCCCTGGCTGCTTCTTGCTCTGACTGAGAGCTGCTGGGAACAGGGGGTGGGGCTTGTTGCATGTGACCGCCCCCTGGGCTCTTTACTGCCGCTCCTGTGCGCTCCTGCAGGAAATGACCCCTGCTCAGATCCTAGTCTGACACTCTATCCACTCCACCACACTGACTCAGTTTGATGCTCTTGGGTCTAATTTGGTCTTATGGTTGCTCCGAGGAGACCAATCACCAGGAGTTGGTGGATGTTTGCTATTTCACTGATTTCTATGTTGGTTTACATTGTCGTCAGCACCGGTTCCTGTTCTCCCATTTTCGCTGTTGGTTTTGTAGATTTGTCTCCATTATGTGTGCATTTTTTGTTTCTGTTTAGATGAATTTTACACACACGGTGTACATCATGTATACATATAATACTGGTACACAAATAACAATGAACATTGATACATTCGTGGGGGAAATTTGGTGTGAAGAAACCCCAAATGACATGAAGAGAAACAAATGAAGGACTAGGCGCAAGCAAGGAGCCAAATTCGCCTGAGACTATTCAGGTAACAATAGAAGAAATTCTAAATCATCCCTACCGATCACTTTCTGAAAGAATCAGCAAGAGCTGGGGTTTTTTTCTTCTTTGTTTTCTGCTATTCCTTCTGAGAGAGATAATAACTCACTAAATCATACATGCACCACTGCTGGTCTCTTGCCTTCTATTTTCTACACTGGCTGCCGTTGCCCTGAACAATGCGACCGACTACATTGTTTTTGCTTTGTGGTACGGCAGCTACGTGCCAAATCCAAGAAGAGCACCAAGACAAAGTCAGTCATCTCATTCTACCTATGCAGATCCTAGCTGCTGCCAAGAACTCGAACCCGTGACCAGAGCAGATGAATTTAAAAGTCTTCAATGGGAAGAGCCAAAATTCTCTCTCATGTTTCTGAGGCTTTTTAAAAAGGGGTGGTGGGGGTAAACTGTTTCATATTCATAATCCAGACAATGAGATTTACTAAAAGAGGTCTTTGCATTATTGGCTATCAATTATTTAAGAGGAAGCGTTTTAAATTTTTCATGCACAGATTTCTCATTTTTACAAAGGGGAGGGATCAGAAGACACCACAGGCGGTGGGGGAAACTAAGTGCCAATAAAGGAGATGAGCGTCATTAATAGATAAAAAGGCCCCTTGACAAGGAGAAACCAAGCCCCCATATCCTGATTGCCATACAAGCATTCACACAAAATTGAGTCAATAATTATATGTCTGTTCGGTAAGGTTTCCCTCTTCCCCCCTCACTGCATTGTAATTATCCACCCACTGGATCATCAATTTGCTACAGAGCAGCCGATGACGGGCTGTGGATTGTTTAATGGAAGTTGTCATCCTTCAGGTTTCGCTCCCCTTCCTCTGAGATTTTAGATGTTAAATCTCCGGAGAGGTGTGTATAGGAACAGATACATCTTGTTCCAAGCATGCTCGTGTTTATTCTTCTTTGACAGAAGGGGTGCTCCTGGTTAGCAAAGTTCAAATCAAAGGAATTTGGAATAACAAAAAGAAGAAGAAGAAGAAGAAGAAGAAGAAGAAGAAGAAGAAGAAGAAGAAGAAGAAGAAGAAGAAGAAGAAGAAGAAGAAGAAGAAGAAGAAGAAGAGGAGGAGGAGATTGGGTTTATACCCTACCCTTCACTTGGAGTCTCAGAGCGGCTTACAAAGTCCTTTCCCTCCCCCTCCCCACAACAGACACCCTGTGAGGTAGGTGGGGCTGAGAGAACTCTGACGGAAACTGCTCTTTTTCAAGGACAGCTGTGCCAGAACTTGTGACTGACCCAAGGTCACACCAGCAGGTGCAAGTGGAGGAGTGGGGAATCAAACCCGGTTCTCCCAGATTAGAGTCCACGCTCTTAACCACTACACCAAACAACCCTCTGGTTTTAGAAGTGCCAGCATTACCCAGACCCTAGGGTTGCCAGACTCCAGGAGGGAGAGGGAGATCTCCCAGAATTCCAATCTGCCTTCCCTTAGAGGGAAGGGTGGACTCAATGGCATTGTCCCCTGCTGAAGTCGCTCCCTCCCAAAATCCTGCCCTCTTCAGGCTCCACGCCCAAACCTCGAGGAATTTCACTCTTTGAACTTGGCAACTCTCGCCCAGACCCATACGAATTCAGGTCTGGCCTACACCATAGTTTGCTCCTGCTCTGTTCTACACCAATTCACCACTCTGCATGCAAGCCAGAAGCTTTCTTACATCCAGGGGTAGGGGGAAATTCACTAGGGTTGCCAAGTGGAAAAATGAACTTACCGGGGGACTCCCGGTCTGCGGCTGGAGTGCGCACGCGCCGCACGCACATCACCAGGAAGTGACGTTATGACGCCGGGCACGCTGGGGGCGGGGCCACGACCATCCGAGGAAAACCATAGAGTTTTCCCTCCGATGATTGTGGCCCCACCCCCAGCGTGCCCGGCGTCATAACGTCACTTCCTGGTGACGCGCACGCCGGGGTGGGGTTCCCCCCCAGGGCCCGATCCGCCGGCGGCGCGGAACGGGCCTCTGGGGCGGGGGTTTCCCCACCCCCCTGGGGGGATTTGGGAAGCCTAAAATTCACCAATGGTAGGTGGAGCTTGCTAAGGACTGGAAACAATGGTTCCGAGCATGCTCAGGAGTGTTATTCTCAACTAGGGGAAGAGGGAGTTGTGGTTTTCTTCCAAGGCTCTGTGGTTTCCTTCCTCTCCAGTGAGTCC